CCACTCCGTTGGTGCCACTCCGTTGGTGCCACTCCGTTGTTGCCACTCCGTTGATGCCACTCCGTTGATGCCACTCCATTGGTGCCACTCCGTTGGTGCCACTCCGTTGGTGCCACTCCATTGGTGCCACTCCGTTGGTGCCACTCCGTTGGTGCCACTCCGTTGTTGCCACTCCGTTGATGCCACTCCGTTGATGCCACTCCGTTGATGCCACTCCGTTGGTGCCACTCCGTTGGTGCCACTCCGTTGGTGCCACTCCATTGGTGCCACTCCGTTGGTGCCATTCGGTTGGCGCCACTCCATTGGCACCACTCCGTGTGAAAGTGGAGCGTTGCGTTCGGTTTGTTGAGTCACCGACCAGGCCGTGGCCCTGATTGAGGCGATGTAAGATGCTGCTACATATAATCCACTGAATTTATGCCACGATTTTTCATATGAATCACATTTAACGTGGCCAACACAATCTGGTAGGTGTTGGCTACTTAATTTAATTATTTATAACTGAATTAGAAGTTTTAGTTCAGGTAATTGAATAGTGCAGCTTACAAATATATCAGATAATTTATGATGGATTTTACCCACTGATAATTCACTTTGCACTTTGAATAATTGGATTGTGGATGATTAAGCATTCTGATGCTCATTTGCTTTGGGGATTAAAAGTTCTGCTGCCCTGCATCCAAGTAAACTGGGGTCTGTTAAGATCGTGGCTGAAAGTGATTTCTAGCTTATTTTTAATCTGTGCGCGTGCGTCCATGTTTTGTACGGCATTCAAACGTACAGCTTACGGAGGAAAACAAAAAAAACCGAAAATAATAACTCGAGTGATAAGAAAATGATGAGGATGGGAAACGACTTCACAGGAAATTTGGAGAGAGAGAGGCGGCCGCTGCCGCAATGGTTTGTAGGTGCGTCAAAGAGGGCCCCCCTCCGCCTGAAGGCGTGTCACTCGCGGAGATACTGAGCGCGAGGAACGCGGGATCAGCGCGCGGGGGCTTTGAGATAGTCGGGTGGATAACGCGTCGGATGGATACGATTAAGAGTGACGGCGACGAGGTTACGGTATGAAGGAAGCCGGCAGGTGGCACGAGATAGAGAATGGTGGAGGGGGGGGGGTCTTCGCGTGCCCCCCCCCCCCATCTGTCCGTCCGCGAGTGCAGCTGCCAGATGGGAGCGTGAGAGATAGAGATGCAAGGGATTGTCAGAGACGTTGGCTTCTCGGTTTGTTGCAGGGTCGGCATTAAGCCATTCGTTGTGGAACGTTCTGCTTTTGCGTCCGTGGCGTCGTGCAACCATTCCCTTGAACAAACGATCATTACCGGCCCAATGGGAAAACTGCACTTTCACTACGGATTGCCGTAGTCGTACAACATAGGGGTCTAATGGCGATAATCACCAGGCATTTAATGAGTACGCACCGCGGGATCCACAGGATGTGTGCTGCGCACAATGCTCAACGTGACATATATGTATATACGAGCGTGCGGGCGTCCAGTAGTGCGCAAGCGATAACGCGGAGCGTATTCTTGTACGCATCTTAAAACGCTCACGTTTGAGGTCTGTGTGTGGAGGGCAACGTGGACGCGATGAGCCTTAAAATATAAATGCAACTCTTTAAGACAAATCAACATTAGAAAAAAATATCCCCGGTGTGCCGCGCGGGAGGCGCCTGCGAGCGGGCGGCGGTGATGATGAAGGCATCGTTGGCAGCCGCGTGACATTTACACGGGGGCTGCCAAGCGACGGGCGGCACGGTGCCACTCGTCACGGGGAGTGGGCCGATGGCCCTGGGCAGCCGTGGGATGGAGACGTCGACTCTACTCGTCCGCGCGGCCTCTAATGCACACGCGCGCACACACGCAGTCCCAAAGGGGCATCACTCACGACAGCCTTATACTAATTATGTATAGTAATGCATCGCATTATATAATACAGCAACTAAATTCGCAGTGAAGTGGTTTTACACATCTTGCGCTTTCTTAAATTTTAATTCGTTCAAGTATTTCGCCAGCGTACGACGTTTCGCTCAAACTGCTTTGATGGGAAAAAAATCGTAGGGCTTTGCACTTTCTGAAGATGTTCAAACACCAAATAGACACCTGTCGTCGCAAGGCATCACGTCTGCATTAAGCACATGCTGGTGGTAAAACATGGGAACATATTTGCTTTAATAATGTATGCATTGTCTTTGAAACTTTGATTGGCCTATTAAAACATCACGGCATTAATCCATTTTAATTCTTTATTATTTAAGTGAATATGAAATCTATTATTTATTTATGAACACAGTAGGACCAATATCTCAGCCGTGGCTGATCATTGTTTTAACGCTGTGGGCACACACGAAATTGATTTCTCCAAGACGAAGGTACTCTGCAAACCCACTGACTATCAACAAAGATTCGTTCATGAAGCCATCCAGATATTTACACACAGTCAAAATTTCAACCGAGAAGATGGGTACAAACTGAACAATCATTGGAAGGACGTTATGAACAACCAGTTTAAGACATAACTGGCTGTGATGTTTCCATCCTACCTGCCGATGTTAGCAGTTATTTCCGACTCTCTGAGTTGCATTGCTGGATGTGGCGGTGGCTACATTGACATGCTAATCTCTCACCAATATAATGGCGTGCCCAACAACTTTGGGGTGCCCTCGATCTGCCTTCTCTAACCCCGCCCACTTACCCTTGGGCTGCACACATCTCAGGTCTATATAACACCCTGCTGCTGCAGCAGCTCCCTTGCTATATTTTTTCACCTGAGGACGATTGAAACGTAATTTTTATTATTTTTCTATCTACGTGACTTTACCGAAAGACCCAAATAGTATTTATTTATTTGTCTGCTTCCTTTTCAGATGAAATATTTCATAATAAAAGTCTGAAACTCATTGCAAAAGATAATTCATGCATCGTGCATGAATGTTAATGGAAGTCAGTTTGAATATTTGTTAAAATAAAAAAAATCACCCTAGACGATTTGTTGGAATAAATAATAAATATAATAACCCTCTGTGTCCTGACTTTTGGGCCATTCTGCATAGACTGTTGGGCCATTCTGCATATACTGTTGGGCCAAGCGAGCGGGCAGGGGCTGAATCCCCGTCACTCGCCCGGGGACGGCCGCGTGACGGTCGGCGTTCACGATGCCACCCTCCAGCGGGGACCACGCCCCGAGAGGGCTGCCCGCTGTGGAGACGGAGCGATGAAATGGGCACGCGTGCCGGAGCGCGGTGAGTTGTGCCAATCGCAGGGCCGTTTAGGGGTGGCGACGGCTTGGGGAGACTTTCATCCAGCAGTGGATCGGTCATGGTCGCTGCTGATAATAAAGTACTCGTATTATTTTGCTCGCCAAGCCAAGTGTCACCTCTATGCAAGTGTAACGCTCAGAGGATGCCGTGTTACGTTATTGTAAAATTATAAATACATTTAGAGCTGTTGCCTGCAGCAGATGTTCGCTGCTGTGCGCGTGCCGCGTGTGCGCGTGTGCGCGTGTCCCACGGCCGCGTTACATAACACGGACAAACGCGCGGACGCACGGGAGTGCTCGCATCTCACCTGCGGCTTGATCCGAGATGTGTCCGTCAGATTATTATCTTCTTTCGTATGGTGGTGATGATGATGATGAATGGCGATGGTGATTTCGTGTGGCCAATGAAGAGATTCAGTTCCAAGTGACTTAGCCGTTCAGTTGCTCTGAGAGTTGGTGAGTTGCAGATACACTCACTAACTCACCCATGTACTCACTCATCCACTCACTCACTTACTTATCCACTCCCTCACTCAGCCACTCACACGCCGTCACGCTCACTCACAAACGCCCTCGTTCATCCACCCACGCACTCACCCACTGCCTTCAAATTAATATTTTGGGGCAGCGTGAAATTTTGTGGTGCATGGTTTGGTATTTGTAGCCACAGTCACGCACAGGAGAGAGAGTCTTATTTTTCACTTGTGCATTAGGAATCCCACCGCATCATCTGCAGTTTGTGTTGGTGATGTGGACCAACAACAATAATCAGACGTTCAATTTGAGTTTGACTAAGCCACTGGATTGAATCGGCCCGAGCGCTTCGGAGGGCTGGTGTCGTCGTTGCGTGTTCTGTTGCCTGGTGTGAGCGAGTGACAACGCTGGCAGGGCAGGGCAGCTTTTCAAATTAATTACCTTGCCAGATGAGTCTCTCTGTGTCCTCTGCGGCAGCCTCGTGTGGCCCACTAACGAGACAGTGATGGCCGCACACGTCATTTGCGGTGAGGGTATGATTTGCACAGGTCATAATGTTAATACTTTACTAATCACAGAAAACATTCATTAGTATACCTAAATATTAACTTAACGTATAAATTAAAAAAAATGCGATAATAAAAAAAATATTGGTTTTAGGAAAAAATAAACAAAGGGACACTACTGGGTTTGTTGTTAATGGGCAACGCGACGGACTTGCAACCTAGAGGTCTCCGGCTCGATCTCCTGCCAGCTAAAACATTGCAGAAACGTTTCTTGAAATCCCTCTGCCTCTGTGCACCCGGCGGTATCAGTGAGTAAGCTGCAGTTGATCGGCAGGTCGCGTGTGGTGGGGTAAACTGTGGGTGTCTTCCACCTCTTCCAAGACTTCTGGCCAGCATGGGAGAGTGGGCCAAACATTGCCTCTAGAGGAGCTTGAGAGAGGGGGGCTCTCTAGAAAGGGGGGCTCTCTAGAGGGGACTATCTCTAGAGAGGGGGGCACTCTAGAGAGGGGGGGGGGCTCTCTCTAGAGGGGCTCTCTAGAGAGGGGGGCTCTCTAGAGGGGACTATCTCTAGAAAGGGGGGCTCTCTAGAGGGGACTATTTTTAGAGAGGGGGCACTCTAGAGAGGGGGGGGCTCTCTCTAGAGGAGGGGCTCTCTAGAGAGGGGGGCTCTCTAGAGGGGACTATCTCTAGAGAGGGGGGCACTCTAGAGAGGGGGGGGCTCTCTCTAGAGGAGGGGTGTTCTCTAGAGAGGGGCTCTCTAGAGAGGGGGGCTATCTCTGAAGTGCCACACTCAAAACGTACTATATGGTCTATTGCAGTGAACTTGATATCGTTCAAACAATGGAATACTCACGTAAAAATCCTGGCAACAGTCATTAACCAATGTCCTGTAATGCAACCGTAAAGATGTACTTAGGTTAAATCAAGCATCGCAATTAAATAATTGTACTATTCTCTTTGGCCTGGTAATTGTAGACAGCGTGTGGATGGAACAGCAATTCATTATTCGTGTGGCTGTGATTGGTGAATCGAAATGAGGACGTGGGGGATTAGGGAAGAGCACCTCCCGGCAGCATCGCCACTTGCCAGCCTTCCTCCCCAGCTTGCAACATCCGCGTGCGCGCGCCCCCCGCTCCGTAGGACAGCGCTGCCTTTTGAAACGGCGCCGGAAAACGGGGACCCTTCGCAGCGCGCCCCCACCGAGACCCTAAAAATACCACGGTCTGCGCTATGAAATATTGAGCAGGGGGAGAGGAGTTTAAAAAACCGCCACTTTAATTGAATGCCTGCGCAGCGAGAGAGGCATCCTCTTTTTTACCGGCGGCTGTAGGTGAATTCCATGATCCTTGGGGAGGAGGAATTCAGATGAAGAGGTTGGGGACGATGCGTTCCTCCGTCGCGCTGCCGCCGTGGGAGAGTCCCGTTGAGCGACAGTCGGAGTCCTGCGGCGAGTGTCAGAGCGCGGGGCCGCAAGGGAGGCGCTGGGGAGCGGCGGAAGGGCGGGCGGCGTCGAAGCCGAATCACCGGAGCGAGGCCGCAGCCCCGCGGCGTCTGCAGAGGCAGTCGTGCCTGGACGAGGAGCAGCATGGCGGCGCGGTGCAACGTCCGGTTGGGAAGATGTGTCGAGCGAGATGGCAAGGACCTGGCACGGACAGACTGCCTTGCGACGAGCCGGCTCCCCCGCGTGAACGTTGGCATCTGCCAGCGCCGATGGGCCCTCCCGGAGAACTCGGAGGGAGCGCCCGGGACGCGAGCGAGCGGCGGTGTTGCTTTCGCGCAACTGAACAGCGTTCGGTGGACGCCGGCATTTCGGCTTTGCCACGGCAAGATTTAGACATTGCAAAAGGCGCGGCGTCGCCAATGGAGAGGCACCATCTCCTCTGTGGCGACAGAAGTCATCTCTGCGCACCAGAAGGGAACGTATCCACAGACGCTTCGTATTTGGCAATGTCCATTCTAGATGTGAACGCATGCCAAGATAGTGGAAGAATGATTTTATCAAAGACATCCCCATCATCATCACCTGATTGCAAAATGGTTACTGATCAGTGCAGTGGCAGTCTACCAGTGTGCACAGCACAGTTGCCACTGACAAACCCAGCAGGTGGCAATCAAGGGACTCTACCTTCACTACCTGGCCGTCATCCCAGTGTCCTGAACGCGGAGGCCGCGATCCGTCCATCCGCCACCAACACGGGCGAGGCCACGTCGAGCGGCGCGCAACGCCGCCTTGCCGGCTCGGCCCAAGCTCCGCAGCTGGCCTCGGAGGCCCGGCCGCGGCCTGCGGCGGCGTTTGCAACAGCCGACACAGAGGCCAACGGGGACCGGGGAGTCGCGTGCGCCGGGCCTCGAGCGCCGCACGCCGCGTGGCTCAGAATGCGCGGCCCTTTCCTGCGGTCGGCGTCCGCTCCGGTGCCCGGGGAGAGCTCTCGCACGGCTCGCCGACTGCGCAGCGTCACCGCGGCCATGGTGAAGCCGCTCTGCTGGGTGTCGCGCAGAGCCATCGCTCTGGCTACCGGCACCACCGCCACGGCCTCCAGCAGCAGCAGCGGCCTCCAGGGTACGGTCCAGTGAGGAAAGTGCCAGAACCTTTGCGAGGGTGTTCGCGGCCGTGTTGTTTGAGCGCATCCGCCGCGAATTGAGCGTCCGTTGTTTGGTTGTTTTCTCGAGTTGATAGATCGGAACCCACCGTGCTCTGTACGTGTTTGAGCACCGCAGCCTGAAGGGCAATCGAGAGTGGTGACTGGGATGAGGGCTTGGGGTTTTGGCCGCTCTGCGCGAGACGAGCGATGTCCTTCCACGTGGCATTTGCGATGCGCGCCGTACCACGCCGTATCACATCGTACCACGCTGTACCACGCCGTACCACGCCGTACCATGCCGTCTCACGCCGTCTCACATCGTACCGCGCCGTACTGCATTGTACTGCGTTGTACCACAACGTATCATTAATTGTCCGTAGCCACATTCTGACGTTTCGCTCTGCACGAAATGCAAGAACATATCGCAGATTTTGTCAAGCGTTGGGTTAAATTCCCTGGGACACAAGTCGACTCGGGCACATTTATTTTTTCGACCGGTCCTAGTATAATTACAAATGAAGTGACAGAAACAGGCCGACTGTTGTACGAGGGTATAGGAGCCGTCACTTTGGCACGTGTGCTGGTCACAAGACTTCCGGACAGACTTTGTTGGTACCAATATGCGGTAAGTCGGCGCGTTGGGGTCACGGTAGACAGAGTGCAAGCCGTGGACGTCGATGCTGTACAGCAATAGCCCAGTGGTTGTTTCTCGCTGCACAGTGCGGCGCATAAACTGCACTAAAAGGCATTGCGAAACTGTTTTTTATTTTATTTTACCAGGTCAAAACCACTTGAGCCACAAATGATAACTCAAACAAAGTGGCTCATCACCACTTGGAAATTTATCGCAGTAAAATACTCTGAACGCGTGACGTTGATTCTAAAACGTGGAGGACAAAAAACCGGGGGACCCGGAGAAAAATCCAGACGACCACGGGGAGAACATGCAAACTCCAAATATACAGGTGTCAGGGTCGGGATCGAACCGACAACCACCTGTATACCAGGTGAGGTAGTTAACATCTCCTAACTACCGTGACGCCGACAACGACGCATCCATCTGTCGCCTCTCATTAAGTGATGGGGGATGAATGCGAGAGACGTCGTCACGCCACTGGCCCCCTGCATCGCACCGTTTGCCGCCCCCGAGTGAACCCGAGTGCGCCGGGTTTTTAGCCGGCCTTTTGTGCCCGCGATGAGACGTGGCGCCACCTCAACGTGGCTTGTGGCATTCGGCAACCCCGGTCGTATTCGCCAAAGAAGAGAAACGCCGCTCGTCGTCCACTTCACGGCGCGCCCGTTAAATGATTCCGTGACCTCTCCGTCTCGACCACCGCTGCGTGCCGGCGTCACGGTGCCCATTTTGAAGACTGGCTCGTCAATTGCTTAAATTGGTAAACGCTTAGCGATCATCGCCCCCCTCCCACCATCGCGACTGGCAAAACCTTGGCGGCCACTTCTGACGAAGAGTCTTGAGGACTCGGTGCGGCTTTCCTGGGTGAACAAACGTAGCAGTAGTCGTAATAATAATCGCAACAACAACAAGCAGCAGCAACAAGGTCCTGCCCTGCTGGCCACGTACGCGGCCTCTCTGCGCACCAGCGTGCCGCGCGTGGCGATGGTGCCGTGGGTTGCCCTTGGGGGGGCGCGTTATCTCCGACAGACATCGCCGAAGGCAGCCGTTGGTTTTTATTTTCGTGCCACCCTTCAACTTTAGCCGTGAATGACCGCGCTGGTGGACGCTTTCTGGGAACTTGACAGCCGCGGGGGCGCTTGCGCGGAAGGGCCGATGCCTCGTATCGGCCACGGACGACGGCGCCTCCCTAACTTGAAGGTCGGGGCACGCAAAACCCCGAATAGCATCTCCTCCTCGTATGAAAAATAAGAATAGGTTTTTACCCTTTCTGGCAATAAAACAGGAGGTGTTAAGACATTCAAACATCAAACAGACGGCTTTTGCAAGGCATCAAGTCTGCATTAACCACACGTACTTGTGGCATAACATGCAAACGAACATGCTCTGAGAATAATATACTTGCATTGTCTTGGAAACGGATTGGCCTACACCAGAGACGGCCTTCTCTACGGCCTCGTCTCGCCGGTGTCAGACCAGAGAACGGCAAAAGGCGAACAGTACAACGACAATGCAAGTATCAGAGCACTTCTATCTCGGGTAGAGCAGTCACATAAATGTTTAGTTTCCCCACGCGAAGGATAAACGGTGCGTACACGCCGCCTTCTCCTCGGTGTGTGCGCCCGAGAGAGAGAGGCAGGGCAGCTCTCCCACTCGCTTCTCCATCACACTCTGGTGTTCACCTTTCCTTGGCTGGCAAACGTTCACGTGTATCGTCGGCATGTCCGTGATCATTCGTGATGATAATATCAACTTGCTGCGCCACCAGCGCCGCCGGGCAGTGTGTTCGCTCGCTCTCGAAGAGACACGGAGAGAGGGGCCCACTCGAGCAGCGAGGTGTCGAGCCAGCGCTGCCTAAGATTGCCGAAGCTCTGCTGTCCTATATATGTATCCTGAGATGCTTTCAGCCAATTAATGAGTTTAATACGCGCAGGAGGAAACAAGAGCTCCCGGAGAAAACCCCACACAGATGTAAACAGATGGCAGGTTAACCCCATTGCTATACTGCCTTCTCATGGCGAGCCACGATATGGAACCCCCTCGACGCCCGTGGAGAAAAGGGAGTCCCTCCACCACCTCGCTGCTGCTGCTGCTGCCTCCACGGTTCTGGATCGCAGCAGTCGCTTACAGCAGTGGCACCACCACCACAAATCTCCAGTGCCTGCCGGGTTTTTAGCTCGTGAGCTTCTGGGGAAGGTGTCACGTTGATGTGCATTTTTTTTTATCAAAGGAACTTTTTTCCGTCTCCACTGCTAGAGGATCCTGCACTTCCTATGTGCACGGGTGGCTACGTGCGGTGTGAAAGAAGTTGAACATCCGTGCATGTTTTACGAGGAGGGGGCTGTGTGTAAAGTTTGCAGGGGAGGGATGCTGTGTGTGTGTGCTGTGTGTGTGTGCTGTGTGTGTACTGAGTGCATGTGCTGTGTGTGTGTGCTGTGTGTGTGTGCTGTGTGTGTCTGTGTGTGCTGTGCATGTGCTGCGTGTGGCATTGTGGCCGCCACCACTTCCTGTACCAGCCTTGCTCGTGTGCACGATAAGTACTTTAAGCTCTTTATCTTCACTGACCACACGTCAGCGTCAGCCAGAGCATTGCGGGATCGAGCGTTGCCCCCCTCGCTCGTGCGGGTTCTCTCCGGGTGCTCCGGTGTCCTTCCCCACGCGTACGAAGGAAACCCCGTTTAACACATCGGCACGGCGGTGTTATTTTGTGAGCTTTGTATACTTGGGTGGCGGCAGCAGCAACTGGCACAGATCAACGAACAAAATACAGAGACGGCGTCGTCTGCTCGAGCGAGTGCCATTCGAATCGCTCTCCACCCCCCCCCCCCAACTGTACACGACTTAGACGACGGATTGCACCAAATAGTTCACCCTCGTAGATTTGCAAGCGAAGAGCACGTGATCTTCAGCCGCTGAATGCTACGTAGCATTTGGATGTTGCGTCGTGCTGCCCTTGCAAAAGGGACCGCTTGGCCTGCGACGCAAAGATGTGCGTTTAGTTTGTTTAATGATTGCAATGGCCTATGGCTGGTCATGGATTATTGCCGGTAATGGATTAACGCCGGTTAAGGATTGATGTTGGTAAGGGAGTATCACTGGTAATGGATTTTTGCTCGTTATGGACTTTGCAATAAGTAGTTTGGAACCTGTGGTTCAGACGGCCTCTCTCTGATAATATCTTATTTACAAACCACTAATTTACGATCGCGGATGGATCTTCCTCTTGGGATGCGAGCGGCATTACGCCGCATCATTACTGTTCACACCACCACCACCACCACCGTAGGGAATGAACACGCATAAAGACAAGGCAAAGATCCTCCGTATAGACTTTAACAGACTGTGGGGGCAAGTGCTGTTAGCAAGCATCGATGAAGGCCGGCACGGCACACGTGGGGGTGGGTGGCCAGCACCACGCCCGACCGCCTTTGTCTCCCCAGTGGCGATGTTTACACATCACACCAGATACTCATTTGACCAAAGGGAGGCACAGGATCAGTTCAGATAATATAATCGTCACCTGGTATTGACCGTGATCGGGAATCGTACCTCGGGTCGCCGGGTTTGTAGCGCAACGTGCTAACCGCTACACTGCCGCTCCGCACGCACACGCATGCGCACGCACGCACACACACACGCGCATGCATGCACGCACATGCATGCACGCACGAGCCGGAGCCACAGCGCCTGGAGCTGGGTCTAATCTGTGCGCTATTGGACCCTCTCACTCCGCACACAGCACACACAGATGCTCCAGCAATTATAGACGGAACATCACATATACAGGAAGGCTTTGATAAATCAAAGGCTGGAAAGGAAAGGTCATTACATATCAAAACGCCACGGTTGACTTTTATGCTGCGCTGCGCTGCATCACCTGCTGAAGGACGATGGCACGCGCGGAAGTGGCGGTGCCAGCCTCCAGGGCAACTGCTCATCCACAAAGATTACACCTCCACTGTAATCTTGAACAAAAAGTTCCAAATTCATTTCAAAAGATCATGCATGCATTAATGTTGATGGTAGTTAGCTTGAACATTTGTTAAAAGTAAATTAAATAACCCTGTGATTTGTCAACGTAAATCAAACGTGTCCTGACTTTTTTGGACCACCCTGTATAATACGTAACGAAAACAATACTCGTCGTCGTCGTCGTCATATATAACGAAATGTGGAGGGAAAATCCGGAGGACCTGGAGACAAATCCACACGACCAGAAAGAGAACTTCGTGCAGGAGTTTGAGTCAGGATCGAAACCACGACCTCCTGCGTCCCGGGCGATGGAGATCTCGCCACGTAATCTTTTCACTATACCAGGAGTGACGTTAACCTACCAGTTATTGG